TAACTAAGAAGCACGCAGTATAATAATAATTACATGCAACAATTAAATAACTGCTCAGCATCTCCACCACAATCCCAATCTGCTGTGTCCTGTTTTCCTCCCCCCTGCATAACACCCCATCACACATACGAAACACAACGCAGAGTCCGAGGGTGTTAAGAGTATGTTTATTGAAATGTCCTCCTCTCTACTGGCCAACACAGGGAGCATATGCTGGGTGTAGAATTGTTCCAGGAGGAGGAGATTTCCATGCCATGCAGGGTCTTTGGGGATGGGGATGATGATCGCCTCCTTCGTGGTCCACACAACAAAGTAGCAGAGACTCCGGTCTGTGATATGCAGCTGCCCTTGGACCTGGTGCCAGTATGGGTGATTCTCCTTGAGAATATATGACCCACCCTCCTCACGGAGACAGAAGGACACTTCACCTCCAGCAGGGCAGATGGCTGCAAAAGTCCATCGGGTGATGCTCCCAGAACACCCGACTCACTCACAAAGAGACCAGACTCGATTCGAACACTGTCACTTGATAGGCCTCCACAAAAGCCTTCATCCCTTCGGCCTCGTTTACAACCCCCCAGTTGACAGTTGGCGATGTCTCTGGCCAGTGGGTTGTATGTCTCCTCTCGCTGTTGGTAAAGTTGAGACAACGGCTGGACTACTTTGGAAGTGCCAGGCTTCCTCCACTGGCACTCAACATCTGTGGAGCTGATCTGCCACTTGGCAAATATTGCCAATGCTGCAGCGTGGCTGCATTTGTACATCTCCTGTGCACAATCACAGACAGCGCTCTGCATCGCGCCATCGTCTCCCATGCAGATCTGTAAAAATAAAGTAAGTACCATTTGTTAGCATGCTATAATAGATTGAATGAGCAATAATACAAGGATGGTCCGGATCTGGGGGTGGGAGGGTTTATTTGTCCATAGTTTTGTCCTCTTGTCTGTTGTTATTGTTTGTTTTTTCTGTATTTTTTGTAATTTGTGTTGTATTGGTTGTGATTGTACATTGTATTTTTCTAAATGTGTATGAATACATTTTTTGAAAAACATTTGATCAACAATAAAAAAGGATTTGGTCAGGATCTAGACTCAGTGTGTAGTTTATTAATTAATCAATGCTCTCTACATTAGGAACACACATACCAGTGTACCAGAGGGAGTCACACACAGCTGTGCCTAGATAACCAAAATCCTTGAATCTACACACAGCAAATAAACTCAAATGACACAATGAGAAAAGGAGATCACACATACAGTATAGTCGATATAAAACTGGCCGCTTCAATCTGAAGAGCAACTAAAACAAAACACGGGAGTGTACCTTGTTCTTGTGAACACTAATGTTATCCACAGCATACACAGAGACCACAAAGTTCTTAAGGAGAAAACTAGTTGCTAAAACAAAACACGTTAGTGTACCTTGTTAGCTAATGTTAGCTAGCTGACATTAACGTTACACATTGCACTCATATTACTCACCGAAACCTTGTAAAGCCGGTCCCGCATGCTGGCTCTTACAGAACCGACTAACTCCCCTTTCATATAGGTACAGCTCTCAACGTGCCCAGACTTGTAGTGATTTTCACCTCGTAAAATACTTGTATTCTCATTCTGAAAGAATGTGGTGAAATGTGCTAACGTGACGGCCATCTTTATGTTGGTGACGCGTATTGTGCGAGACGAGAGACCTGTAGTTCACTGAGCGGTTTTCACACGAAAAAAATGTGTAACTTCACAGTTTTACGACACATTTTAATTTTTTTGACTTGCAAAATGTTCTTTTAAATTGACAAACATCATATGTGTCATTCGTGGCACAATTCAAACGGGATCAAAAGATAACCTTTCTCTCTCCATTGACTTCAATGTATAATTTTCCGCTTCCGGGGTCCCATGGAGGCTTTCGGAAGGGGAGGGACTTCGCCTCTCTATACATAATTTTTCCCGAAATAAGGTCCCATGGAGCTCCACCGGAAGGGGAGGGACTTCGCCACTCTATTCTATGGTGACGTCACGGACACTACGTCCATTTATATCAGGGGTGGGAACCCTCCGTATACTGCCCGCGAGACAATTTGGTACGGCCCTCGAGGTAATTTATAAACACACGTAAAAAAGAAAAAATTAAAGAAATCAAGACCGCAAAAAATTAAACAAGCGAGTGCCTGTTTTTCCTGGCCAAGGTCAGGGTCCTTGAACTCAACACCAGCCTGTCATCACGTGGTATATGTCTCGCCTGACAGGGGTGCAGTTCTGACGGAGAGCAACAGAACGAGGCTCCGGCACTTCAGAAAATTGCAGTAACCATAAGGAGTCGTACACATGCCGCAGTTTTTGCGTGGCTGTGTCTTTAGTTGTAAGCCCAGTGGCGATCTGTTCATCTGACATACTGATCATACAGACAGTCAATAATTTTGTTGTTATTAGCATCTGGTTAGCTAGCTATGCTAACGAATATAAGAAGCTTTTTCTCCAACCAGTGAGGTAAAGGCACATCTTTACATGATCATTATAACAAAATAAGAGAATAAAATAAACAGGTATAAAATACTATATGACAGTAAAAAAAGTTGTTATTAATAAAGAAGAATACAGTTTGAAAGGGGAGTGATTTGTAAAATATCCATAAAGAAAAATAAATCTGCTTACAGTTCTGTTTCATATGGGTGTTGAGAGATGTATCCATAGAGCTCCTAATTTTGCTCTCAAAGTGCACCAGATTGATGCTTTTAACTTCAACATTTAAAAAATAATTTTCCCAGGGGAGCATGCCCCCCCCCCCCTAGAGGAGGTTAGGTCTATGCAGTCTATGCTATGTAGCTAACTGTCCCTGCTGTTAGGCTACTTAGCTAGCATTGTTATGGATCTAAAGGTAGCAAAAGCTAACTTTCATAGCACAGCTTTTCTTTACTTTTCACTTAACACAATAAAGAAACAGACCGTATAGTACAGCACAAATAACACAAATGATCAATACTTACATATATTTTCACTTGTAGTATTATAATAATTGAAATGCTGGTTCTTCTGGGGGTCTTCTGTCCACGCTCAGCTACTGCACCGCAGCTGCCTGCACTGTACAATCGCTGGAGGACTGGGCTGTCACTCAAAAACGAAGTAGCCAATGGGGACGCACCCCTGAAAGTCCCGCCTACCTGGGACGTTTGTGTCAAACAAAAAATGAGGGATCGCAAACGAGAGAGCTGGAGTGAGAGCAACATTCTGATCATTGAGAAAGAAGCAAAGAGAACTGCAAACAATAAGATATGTTAAAACAAAGAAAAAATACTTGAGGTTTACATGATTACACAAATGATTTGTTTGCAACTTATAGTTTTATTTTTGAAATTAAATTTATTTTGCTTGACTCAGTTTTTTTTTCTCTTAAACTCTTAGTTTTGCTTGAAACAAAACTAATCCCATAATTTGCTGTCCAACATGTTCCTATTGTGAGTTGTATTAATATATTGGAGGCTTTCTACTCTTGCAGGGATTTGTTGTTGCTGTGGATAATCCAAAAAACTCATTGTCATTTATATTCTTCCCCTTGTGGTTTATTGTTATTATACAATCTGAAAAGGGAAACAGTGTTTGAATGGCTTTACATGAAAATATCATTCCTTTTTACCCCCACAGGTTTTACAAAAAGGATTACATGATTTCTGTGTAAGAGAGTTCTCTGAGAGTGTGTGGTGCTGGGTGCAGTGATCAGTGGGTCTGTTGGAGGATCAAACTCCAGTTTCCCTGGATGAGTTAAGAGCTTTGTTCTACTGCTGGCGGATTAATGAAACAGGGATATCACACACACACACACACACACATACACACACCCACACACACACACTGAGGATGTTGGGGGGGAAGTGTGGGATTGTGTCATTGTTGCATCATAAACTGCTGTGATCTGAATCATCTGTCACCGTAACCTCATCACGGTTGGGATCCACTCCGGACAGCATTCTGGGAAATTAGGTATGTGATGTCACTCCAGAAGAAAGCCGCTGTGAACCACGCAGGTCCAGTTCCAATCCGACCCCTACATCCTGACACTCAGCCAGCAGTCTCACTCTCAGCTGAATGAGGGTTCCTACTTTAGGGTGGAGGGGGTAAGTACAGCGGCAGGCGCCGCTTAGGACCAACTCCACTCTGATGTCCAACCAGAGTTTAGAATCAGAATCCATCAGGCAAAAAATCTAAAATTATAATTACAATAAAATCTGCTTGGTTTTTGCAACAGTCATTGTTAATAACCTTGGCAATCAAATGCAAACATAATCTACTGTTTTGTAGACTAGACGCAGGGATATGATTCTAAGGAAAACAATTGAAATGCAGTGTAACCTTGACATTGTTAACATCTGTATGACAATATTAAATTATGTTGCACTATTAAATGTTGCATAGCACTATCTATACACTGTGTTTCATGAGGGACACAAAGAGTGTAGCACCTGATGAGGAAGGGGAGGGGTTTAAGAGTCGGTTTGGAAATGGGCCGCAGTGTAGAGCCCTGAATAGTTAAGAAAATGTCATTTGATATCAGTTTGGAAAACCATTCCACAGCTGCTGCTGCTGCTACTGTTGTTAAACTCAAAAAACATGATTGGTCGTGTGTTTTTATTAAGATTAAGTTATCTACAATAGTGTCTTATAGCTTAGTGACTGTTTGTTAGTGTTGGCACTAAATGTCTAATTACTAAGATATGTATTCTTTAAAGGGGCCCTATTTTTGTGGTTTCCCCTTTCCTGAAGTGTGTTCTATAGGTTTGTATGCATGTTAATGGTCTGCAAAGGCTACAATCCCCAACTTCATTTTTCTATTTCATTTGTGCCGAATAAGAGAAAAATTACGAAACCCAGATACACTAAACATGCACAGGCCACTGACTATTTTGTCCCGGATCTGAACGATTACGTTAACACCCAAATAAAATGTTATTAGAGGATAACTCCTTAAACATTGTGTAGCTCCCTCCAGTGAATGACACAAGGCTGAGGTCTTGATTAAATACGGGGTTTATTCTTGTGGGACCTATTCCAACCCGTGAGAACTGGGTTATAAGACAGAAAAATATAAAAGGTAAACAACAAATAAATATGTAATATATGCATATGTCATCACTGTTAATGCCGCCAATTAAACAATAAACGGCGCACATATCCCACACAGCAAGTAGCACAAGCTAGCGCATAGCATACATACATACACAAACCTGCAGCTCAACTGCACACAATTACACAAACAACCAGCACGAAAACGTACCTCGTAGGCTGCTAGTCACCTAGAGGGGCTGATAACTTTATATGCATTTTCCCTTGGTTTCCTTAGTTTTCCTTTAACGTCCTGCGTTGCTCTGCCGTTGCAACTATCCAGTGCGTCGATTAAATAGGTGTAACACAAAACACAGCAGATTAGTTCCGCCTCTAATAATGTTGCACATAAAAGGTAGGAAGCAAAAATACAACGTGGAAACAAATGAACAACAGAAAGTGAAGACAGTTACACTCCCACCAAATCACCTGTGATTTCCATAACATTTTTAGAAAAACCGATATACATTAATGTAAAACTAACTATTTCGTTTTAGACCTATTAAGTGCAGAGTGTGAGTGAGAGTAACTGAGTCTTAGTCTGCTTCCAACAACAACACCGTCTTGTGAATAGGCCTTTCGAGGTAGACAGGTTTAGCGAGGCACTTTCCCTTTACATCCAGGGTAGAGTCGCTGATAAGCAGCTTGAGCCTTCTCACTCTTCCATCCCCTCCTGGGTACACTTCCACAACCCTGGCCAGCTTCCATTGGCCACGTGGTATAGTGTTGTCTTGCAGAATGACAACGTCATTTACCTTGACGTTTCTGCGGTCCTTGATCCACTTTGGTCTTTGTTGGAGATTGTACTCCTTATGCAGCTGAAGGCACTTTATTTCTTGAGAGAGTATTGCTTCTTGAACCATCTCGATTATGGTCAGCTCTGCTTCTCTCCTCTCCTCTAAGCGTGTGGCTTCACAGGACCTTGGCTTGAGACCTTTAATTTCCTTTGCAAGGCGCTTGAGTCTGGCAAAGGCTTTAACTACTCTTGACCAGTCTGAGAATTTGCGAAGGTGATCTAGTAGCGACTTTACTTCGTTTTTCTGGGTATCATGAACCTGGGCCTTCTTAAGCTCTGGGTCACTACTCACGATCTCTCCCACCTTGACTTCTCCACTCGGTAGCTCTTTCCGCCAAAGTAGGTCAGGGCCTGTGAACCAATTTGAGGCTTGAAGTTGCTGTGCTGTGAGACCTTTGGAGGCCTGATCTGCAGGGTTATCTTCAGAAGCTCTTTCGAAAAAGTCAGATTCCAGCACCTCGCTGACATCTGCAGGTGAGACTTCCTTAATCTGTGTTCTACAGACGTAGTGTACTTCCCTTGGGAGGTTTGAAGACTGGAGACTTGGTATCACTTGCTTCACGGTTACCTGGTGACTTACTCCAATCATATCTCCAATGTCGAGACAGGGATTGCCAAAGCCGACAACACTCCAGCCCAAATCTGTTCTCTGTGCAAAGGGCTGGTTTTCTTCACCAAGCACCACTTCTCTTGGGACGAGAGCTTGAGGACAGTTGTAGCCGATAAGCAGGCCAATTTCACAGCTTTGCTGAGGAGCGATCTCATCTGCGAGGTGTTCAAGATGAGGCCATGCCTTTGCGGTCTCTGGTGTGGGAATATGGTCTCTGCTTGCAGGGATGAATTCTCTTGAGTAGGTTACTGGCAGAGGTATTATCCTGTCCGAGTAGATTTCTCTCACTTGGAGACCAGTTAGCTTCCTACATGACACAACTGTGCTTCTTGAAGCCATTGTGGAGAGCTTTAGCTGCACTGCTTCGTTCTTTGTGCGAAGAGCCTTTGCCGTTTCTTCAAGGATAACGCTTGTGTCACTCTGTGTATTTCACTATGTGGCTCACTTGTGGCTGACACCCACACTGGAACGATTGTGGATGTATGTGTGTCTTTAACATTCTGGAAGACTGTATTGGATGTTGCCTCATGTGATGTGCTTGCCGTTTTACTTTGTGGACGTTCCATTGTGCTTTCTCTTGCACCATCATGGTTTGTTGACATTCTTTCTTCTCTGGTGCGATTGTCATGGAGAGAAGTTGGATGTCCTTTTTCGCATGTTTCGCACATCTTTCTGTTTTTACATTCCTTTGAGCGATGGCCAGATTTTAAACAGCCAAAGCAAAACTTATTTTCTTGAACAAACTTGACTCGCTCAGAGATTCTCATTCCTAAATTTGTAACATTTGTGCAGACCATGTCCTGTCTTCTCACAGAAAAGACAGTTTGTGGCATCTGCTGTTTCATTTGTCTCTGTAGTCAATACGTTTGATACAGGACTTCTGTTCGTTAAAATCTTGCCTTGTTCGCTTTCTCTTGATTTTAGAGCATGGAGAGATGTTATTGGGTTGCAAGCTATTTTGGTTTTCGTTGCAGTCGTTAAGTACCTCAAGTCCTTTGATCTGTGACATGGCAGCCTCAAAGCTGCGAAGGAAGTCAGAGAGCTCTTGAATTTCTACGCTGTCTTTGGAACTTATCTTGGGCCATGCATCAAGCTTATCTCTGAAGGCCTTAGCAATGAGGAAATAATTACCGTACCTCTCTTCTAGGATGGTCCACGCGGCATGATAGGCTGACTCTGTGCCTAGCAGGAAGTAGCTCTCTATGGCCTTCTTGGCGGGTCCACCCACATACTTTCTTAGATAGTATATATTTTCTTCAGCTGGGATGTTTTTCCTGTCAACGAGTGTATGAAAGGAGACCTTCCAGTCATTGAACCTCAGTGGGTCACCACTGAACGTTGTAGGTTCAGGCACAGGTAGACGATTTGCACTGATGGACTCTGCAAGAGCTCTGATAAGAGCTGAAGTACTGTCTTCTTGTTTTTGTTGTGTCGCAGCTTGAGGTGGTGAGTGGTTTTGCAGTTCACTGCTTTTATGCTTGAGTTCTTCTTTCACAACCAGAGGAACATGTTGATGGAGCAGCTCGCTAATTTCTTCGTCTGAGCATGCATTCTGTTCATATACTTGATGTCTCGCCTTTGCAGCTTTTAGCTTCTTTACTGTTTCTAATCGCTCTAGTTGTCTGCGCTTGGCTTGTAACTGTCTTTGTCTCTCAGCATTTTCTGCCTCCTGTTTGGCTGTTAACTGAGCAGCTTCAGCAATCTGTTTGGCTCTTAACTGAGCAGCTTCAGCCTCCAGTATATCAAGTTCTTCGATCTGTTGTTCCTGTTCTAGCATTACTTCTAAAGTCGCTTCATTTGCAGCAATTTCAGCAGCGGCTTCTTGTCTTTTGATAGAAGAGAGGAATGAACTTCTTGATGTGGCTCTCGAGTTGCTACGAGAATGAGTCGAGGACCTGGTGACATGAGAGCCATTACTTCTCTTAACAGAGGCAACAGATTTGCATACAGACTCGGTCTGGTTTTTACCAATTTCTTCTTCCTCATGACTTTCGTCCTTTCTTGTGTCCATTCGTTCTCTTGCAGTCTCAATGATCGTCTTTGTAACTGCTTCACAGGTGTCTTCTCTGCGACGTGTTTCATGGTCGGGAATGTCAATGAGCCTCAACTCTTCATAAGCAATATTCACATCATTGGAGGTCTTCCTTATCTGTATTCATGCAGCAGGTCATTAGAGCATTGACCACTTAGCGCTTGTTTGGCTTCCTTTGTGATATCTTTCCACCTTTTGTAGCTCACACTGAAACGGTGTACAAGTCTTGTTACTTGCTCATCGTGCAGTTCTTGGCCCTTTTCCGTTAACTTCCGGACTCTTTGGCTCCTTTGTGGCTCTTGTGTGGAAAGGCTATCCATTTTCGGATCTTCAGTTGCCTGTGGTTGCTCGTTTTCTACTACACTCACTTCATAACTCTTAGTGTAAGACTCAACATCTGACATTTTACTTGTTTACTTAAGTTTGGTTTGAACTCTAATATTTAATTATCTTTAAAGCTAAGTAGTTAGCCAATTTAGATATAAGCTTTGAGTTATCTTAAGCTTATACACAGCTATTGAGCCTTATTTAAATGAAAATCACAAGTGATAATGATATAGGCAAACAACAAAAAACTTGGTACATTTATTCAACACTTATCACTTGAAAGATATTGTCCTTAAATGTACTTTGTTACTTAGTCTGCAAATACTTACTGCAGATACCTTAATACACAAATCAATATTAACAACCTTTAACTTCCATTAGAAAGGTAAGTAAATAACACAGATGATATGAACAATGCAAATGTCCCATTTTCTTTGTATGGCACTTTGAAGTCTCTTTGTTGCACCTAAATGTACACTAAAGCACCTGGGCTGCAGTCGAATAGTCCATTTAGCTTAGGAACCTTCCTAACGGAGTGAAATGACCCGGAAGTCCCTCAGTGGCAGCCATGATAAGTGCCGTTCGAATTCTCTAGAATGATAGGAAAGGAGGTTTCAAACTTCCTTTATAACCTCCTTTAGCTTAGGAACCACTGGACCTCCCTTGACGAAAGGAGAGGAGAAAATGCTGCCCCACAATGCCTTGCAGCCGCAGCATTTGACGTCGCATAACATTCGGCCATTCACGGAAACAAACGATTATGACGGAGAAATTATATCATGAAAGTTACGGTGCTTATTAAGCTTTTTAAAACGTATGTGGTAAGTTGCCAAAGTGCTTTGTTTTGAACGTTCATCAGTATTATAATCAAAGAGAGAAATATGAACGTTAGTTTTTACTGAAATGATCAAATAAAGTCAACATTTCACAGTCTTTACTGAGCTGTGTGGGGTTTGTTCAACTTTTAAAAGATGTTTGAATGGTGATATACACAGTGATAGATGTTAAAGACTAACGTTTATAATAAATATATTTGTATTTATTTTTAAGATCTTTGCATAGTTCATACAATCATACGTATGGGATCATTTGTATTAATGTGGACCGGAGGGAGAGGGTGACGAGCATAAGTTTCACTTTCCTTTTTTATTTCAATTCCAACTTTGGTCATGAAGAATATGTTTCTCTGTTGTCCACGTTCATAAAGCATAAAGCAACAGCATCAGAGCACGGTGCAGAGTCTCTAGATGAGTTTACAGTAGTCCCTCGTTCTTATTAAACATCCATGTTGTAGTCCTCTGTATAGAAAACTGTAGTTTCCATAGTTTCCCCACAGCAGCAGACGCACATTCATGACGTCCGCTGGCGCATCATAAACACGTCGGATAGTGAAAGTGCAGTCGGATTCTCTAAAGTACCGCAGTCTCTTCTCCTAAATCCTTTTGAATTCTCCTATCCACTATCCCTTAACCCCGTGACGTTTCACTCAGAGGTCAAGGAATAGGAGATAAGGTTAGAACTTAGGAGCTGATTTTTAAACTATCCGAACGCAACCCTGGACTTTCCAGAAGTAGTTGGATCTTGTGCTGCTGTGTAGATGGCTCCTCCTTGTCAACATAAACACACATGTACAAAACATTTAGAAACCCGCGAAATACACACACATGTAGCTACAGCTGTGCCGCTGGCTGTCAGCAAGCCGCCCAGCTGGCTGTGCCCGCGAATTCCTGGCCCGCAAATTCGCGGGTCTAGCTATGTACTGAGTGTGTGTATTTCGCGGGTTGAGTGATGTACAATGGCATCCCGTGGAGGAATTCTGAAATGTTTTACCGTTACATCACAAAAACGCACAGCAGAACCAGACCCTGGAGTGCCGGCCTCTTTATTTACTTACTCCTCTTCATCCCCTATGGGTAATAAGGCTGAGATGAGAACTCTCCATCGTATTTAGTCCTTAGCAATATGCTGCGCCTCTCCCCATGTAGGGATGGGTACCGAGCCCCGGTATTAAACGGGCCGCGGGCCGGAATT